TTAGATGTTCTGCAAAGTGGTCACCCAGGCTGCATTTCATCTCTCCAGTGTGGAAGAGACCACGTTATGAGCAGTAAATGCAGTAAACTAGTTTGATGAAGTGAAGGTAAATAGCTGCTTCACCTGGAAGGTGTATCTGGGGCTTTGGGTAGTGACGAGGGAGGATGTAACAGGTGTTAAACCTTTTGAAATTGCAAGGGAAGGTGCTGTGGGGATGTCAGGAGGTGTTGTAAGTGAAGTAGGAGTGGACCAAGGTATCCTGGAGGGAATGGTTCCTGTAGAAGGCTGACAAGGGATAAGAGGGGAATATGTGTCTTGTGGTGGCATCCCACTGGAGGTGGTGGAAATGGTGGCTAATGATACTGTGGATATGATTCCTGATGTGATGGTAGGTGAGGACCGGGGGAACCCATCACTGTTGTGGGAAAGAAGAGAGGGGTTGAGGGCTGAAATGTGAGAGGGTGGATCGGATGTGGTGATGACCATGTAAACCATGTCGGTGGGGAATCGTCGATGAGGAAGAAGTTGAACATTTTGGCGACTCCCTTGTCGAAGTTGGCATCAGTAGAACAGATGCAAAATAATGAAGAAATTGGGAGAATAGAATAGAGTCTTTACCAGAAGTAGGGTTTGAGAATGTATATTCGAGGTAACTGTGGGAGTCGGGTTTGCAGTGAATATTTGTGAACAGCCTACCCCAGAAATGGAAACAGAGATGTCGAGGGAGTTGTTGGAAATGAACAAGGTGAAGGTGAGAGCATGGTGGAAATTGGAGACCATATAGATAAACTTTTCGAGAGGGAAGCAGCATCAATAATGTCATCAGTGTACTGGAGAAAGAGAGTGGTGGGTGGGGGCCGGAATGGGACTGGAACAAGGAATGTTCCACATACCCCACAATGAGACAGGCGTAACTAGGACCCATGTGGGTACCCATTGCCACCCCTTTGACATGCAAAAAGTGGGAAGAGTTAATTGAGAAGTTGTTCAGTGAGGATGAGATCAGCCAGACGAAGAGGGTGGTGGTGGATGGCGAATGGTTTAGACCATTTCTTTCCAGTTACAAGTATAGAGCCCTGAGGCTATCCTGATGGGAGAATGGACGTGACAACTGATTGCATGTCTGTGGTGAACAGAAGGTGGCTAGAGCCCACGAACTGGAAATTCTGAAACTGACATAACACGTTAGAAGAATCACGGATGTAAGTGGGAAGGGACTGGACAAGACAAGAAAATCATGTTGAGGTAGGAAGAGATAAGTTCTGTGGGGGAGGAGCAAGCAGAAACAATAGGTCCGCCTTGGCAGTCTTGTTTGTGGATTTTGAGGAGAAGGTAGAAGCAGGCTTTGCGGGGTTAGCAGATTGTAAGCTTGGAGGCAGTGAGGTGGGGAGGGGGGACATCACCAGTTGAAACAAGAATAGTGACTGTTTGTGGACAGAATAGCCTGATGTTCCATGGTGGGGTCATGGTCCAGGAAGATTTAGGAGGAAGTATCTGAGAGCTGGTGTTCAGCCTCTGCAAAGTAGGGGTCAGTATGCCAGACAGCCACAGCACTATGCTTGTCATCAGGCTTGATTACAAAGTTAGGGTTGGATGTGAGAACCTGGAGTGCAGTCAGTTCAGACAGAGATAGGTTGGAATGGGTAAGGGCGGGGTCAGAGAAATTGAGGCGACCAATGTCAAGCCAGTTCTCGATGAACAGGTCGAGTGCAGGTCAAAGGCCAGAGGGAGGGGTCCAGGTGGAGGGAGAGTGTTGGGAGCGGGTAAAAGGGTCCATGGCACAGAGGTGAAGGCAACGGAAGAAAAGTTCAATGTCATGTTGTGCCCAAAATTCATGAATGGGGTGGGGGCACAGAGGGATAAAACTGAGGCCTTTGCTGAGTAAAAAATGTTCAGCATTCGAGAGTGGACAGTCAGAAGGGATAGTAAACACATGACAGGAGGTGGGGTTGAGAGAGGGGATGGAGTCAGAGGGAAGGGGAGAGGAGGAAGATTCCAGAGGAGCATGGGTATCTATAAGTTGTTGCACCTTGCATGCCTTGATGCCTGCAAGGAGAAGTTTCTTGTTAGAATGTCAAATGAGCTGGAGGGTGCAGTGAAAACTGGGGGCAGGGCAGCTCTGAGCCAGGGTGAGGCAGAACTGATAGAGAGGTTGAGAGTGTGCACGTGGTGATGCATGGCACTGAGTGTGGATCTTAGGATTCGGCGAGAGCAGCTCTCTGAGGAACGTTGTATGTCACAGAGACATCTGTGATCCTGGATGGATTCAAAACACAAATGCTGAAACTTGAATTATAATCCACGTGGGGTGAGTCTGAGCCAGAGGCAGTCACTGAGGAATGTGATGTTGATGTGGAAGCAGGTTTTGGCAAAAACCTTGTGAAGCACAGGAGCGACAATGAAAGTAATCTCGGCAAACAAGTAAAAGGGTTAGAATAGAAATCCTGTTGGAGGGAGGAGCAGAACTTCTTCAAGGTGGCATACCTGGAAGAGATGTGGCAGAGTTAAACACTAAAACAAAAAAAAACAATGAACTGCAGATGCTGGAAATCAGAAACAAAAACAGAAATTGCTAGAAAAACTTAGCACGTCTGAGAATAATGGCTACGTGGGTAAATTATTAGTGTTAAAAAAATGCAGAGGCAAACTTCATATTGTGATCAGAGCTCCTCCTTTGTGACACACCCTGTGATGCACTGAGCTCTTGGTAGCAGGTGACACTTGCTGTATTTATTATTGAGGGATGTAGAGTGCCAAGCAACACAGGACAATTTCCTGTCAGGCATCTAGCCCTATTTCTCTTCTATTATCAACGGCTGCTGAAATTCAGTTGTGTAACGCAGCTTATACTGTATGTATTGGCCCTAGGCACGACATTAACATCCAGCATCTAATTGCCCAGTAGGATGAGCATTTCTTTCCATTTACCTGCCTGAAGAAGATTTATCAATTGTTGTAACTCGCCGCCTTCAGAAATGATTTTCTATCAATATTGGATGTTCTAAAGAATATTGTATTATGTGCTGGATTGCGGGACATTTCTGCACGTGAATATTGTCATAAATTTTAAAAGTTTTGAGAGTTTTGAAATTTGGTACTGACGTGGGGTATAGAACCGTGCTCGAGAGGCAAGCATTTTTTATTTCCCTTTAAAGAATGTTTTGTCTTTTTTAACTTTATTGAAAATTGTTTAGCTTTCCATCAAGATAATGCTGGTGAAATTGGTTCTTTTTAGTTAATCTTAGTTTTAATATTTTTCCCATGGCAATAGGGGTTACCACAGAATATTTGTCTAAGGTTGTAGCCTATATGTCTGTGAGTTTGAAGATTGTTGGTTCAAGCACAGAACCTAGACTGGCAGTTCAATGGAAGACTGCGGCATGGCATATTTTTGGTGAGATGACAGACAGTGAACATACTATCGCTTGACAGAAGAACTGGGAGATTCTCCCTTGTTGTCCAACGCATCCCTCAACCTACATTACTGAAACAAATTAAACAGGTTATTTATTGAATGGGTTTCTGTAGCCACTTTCTCTAAGCAAATAGTTAAAAGATGTTTAATGAGGTGCTTTGGACATTGTGTATGAAAGATGTTATTTAGCCACAGGTACTTGGCGGTCCAGAGTCTGTAGAAGATGACATGGTGGTCAAATTAAGAAATTTGAGATAAGGAAAAGCAGCATAATTTATATCTCATTGATTTGTACAACTGACTTACAGATGATTTGGCAGTAACTGAAATGTGTTGTTTTATACTGTTCCATTATGCACGACACTTTTAAGATACTAGCCATTGTATGCTCTGTGACACTGCTTCCCAAACCTTCACTTGGTGTGATCCCACTCCATTCTCTCAGACTTTGTGATCCCAGAATGGGAAGGTATGAGTATTGTTGAGTGGGGTGGGTGCCCTTTATCTGCCATGGGATGAGTTTTGTTGAGTGTGGTATGAAGTGTTTAAACTGCAGGATTTTCCTTAGAAAAACACATTACTTTTCATAGGTAACAAAGTGTGGAGCTGGAGGAACGCAGCAGGCCAGACAGCATCAGAGGCTTTTATGCAGCAGCAGTGAGACCACAAAGATTGTCCATTAGGCCATACTCACCATTGGAAAGAGATATGAGAATTTAAAGAGGCCTTGCAACTGTTAGCATTCAGTTTGAGCTCCACATCTGCAATTGCTACCTTATTGCAGGAGCTCCTGACCCCAAAATATCATCTTGTAACCCCACTGGAGGTCGGGACCCATAGTTTGGGATTACATAGAACATAGAACAATACAGCAAAATACAGCCCTTCGGCCCATGATGTTGTGCCAACCTATTCTTTTCTTACTGGTAATACTGACCTTATTTACATCTTAAATTTTCTTTGCAAGTTTCTCCTTTAATTGGCAGATCATTTCCCACTGTAGTCCAAGAGGTAGAAATGTTCCATGAATCAAGTAGGAACTGGGTCATCTCTTTTAAGGAATAGCAGTTGGAGTCATTGTTAATAACCTGAAGGCCAGTTTGATAAAAGTTTTTTTCGTGGATAACACTTTTCTGTATTTCATTGTTTGGAGTTTTGTAATGTAGCTGGACATGGAGAGTCTGACTGAAATGCCCACTTATTTCCTCCTTACTTGTTTCCCCCTTTCTGTTCATGCTGATCCATGCATTGCTCAATATGCAACTGGAGCTAAGGAGAAGGATTGGCTGCTCCTGGGAATGACTGCTATTCCTGTGATTTGTTGACAGGGTGCCACATTTTATCCCAAGAAACTATTTTTGACAATGTCCATCTTTCTGTCTTTCCATGTGACATTCTGTTCAGCAGTCAGTTGCTGAGGTTGGTCAAATTAAAGGCACTTGGAACTTGATTATCTAAGATTTGAGTCAGGGATTGATATGAGTCATAGGTCAGGGCCTTCTTATGTGATTTTTTTTTGTGTGTTAATGGGTACAGTTTGCGCTTTTTTGCATTATTATTAATCTTTCTTTTTTTGTTCACACAGGTATGGCCTCACAGGTTTTGGTCTGCCCACCACGCATTTATCAAACTCAGACAAGTGCCTTTTGTAGTGTGAAAAAATTGAAAGTCGAGCCAAGTAGTTGTGCGTACCATGAGAGAACTTGTCCGCGTACTTATGTGAACGGACGGAACCTTGGAGTTGCCCACCCATCACATGTAGTTAATTCTTCCTTTCAGTTGAAGAATTCCATTGGGAGACCTCGTGGACAGAATATTGTGGTGGCAGCAAGTGCCATTGCATTGAACCCATCTTGTGCCACCAAGGTCACAGCAGCGCAGGCGCAGCAGCAACCATTGGCGGTGGCACCCCAGGGCGAGAGGCCAGGTAGCAGTCTAACCTCGCTAGAGAGCTACCAGAAATGTGGACTGAAGAGAAAAAGTGAGGAGCTGGACAATCGAGGTAGTGCCATGCAGATTGTGGACGAGCTGTCTATAATGCCGGCAATGTTACAGACGGGTGTGGGGAATCCGGTCACTGTGGTGACTACTGCCTCAAAGCAGAACAGTGCGAGTGGTGATGGTGATTACCATCTGATGCAGCATGAAGTTCTGTGCTCAATGAAGAACACATATGAGGTCCTTGACTTCCTTGGACGTGGGACCTTTGGCCAAGTGGTGAAATGTTGGAAGCGTGGGACAAACGAGATAGTGGCGATAAAGATTTTGAAAAATCATCCCTCTTACGCACGGCAGGGGCAAATTGAAGTCAGTATCCTGGCACGACTGAGCAACGAAAATGCGGATGAGTTTAACTTTGTGCGTGCCTACGAGTGCTTTCAGCATCGGAATCATACGTGTTTGGTGTTTGAGATGTTGGAACAGAACTTATATGACTTTCTAAAGCAGAACAAGTTTAGTCCATTGCCCCTAAAGGTGATCAGGCCAATCCTCCAGCAGGTGGCCACTGCACTGAATAAACTAAAGAGCCTTGGTTTAATCCATGCAGACCTCAAACCGGAGAATATCATGCTGGTTGATCCCATCCGGCAGCCTTACAGGGTGAAAGTAATCGACTTCGGGTCAGCCAGCCACGTGTCCAAAGCTGTGTGTTCCACATATTTGCAATCGAGGTACTACAGGTGAGTGAATGTGTCTGTGAACTCTCAGCTGATCGAACCAGGAACCATTACAGACTGAACACATTAAAACAGGTTGAAATCATCTAGATTTAGTTTTATAGCCCAGTATATGATTCCAAGAGATAGAGAAAAAAGAAATGGATGGCTGTATGACATTCTTGAGTTTTGTAAAGATTTTGATTGAAGTTTGTACTGAGTTTGCAATGGTCCTCCAGTTTGATTAGGGTTGCACTCTTCTTTCCTATAACCCTCTGCACTGATTGATTTGGAAGTGACAGATTTCTCTCCCCTGTGTTTACACATCAAATTTGAATTTCCTGGCAGCAGCTGGAGGAGTTTTTTACCCCCTGCTCATAATGGGTGGATCTGAAACTGCAGTGTTTCTCAGATATATTTCTATGGGGAAAAAAATCTGCACTTTGGCATCATAAAGACTGGACAAGTCAGGTTTGCATGAAATGAGCTGATTTGGGCCTTGGGGAGTGGGTAATGATCGTAATCCAACTATACTTGTGGCATTTATCTCCGTGCCATTGGGAGTGGTGGAGTTTTGAGATGAAAATTGAACCCATCAGACTGAATTGCCAATTTTCAGGATTAATATATCTGTTTATGGATCTTCAAACTATACTGAAAATTGGAATGGAATGACAGTGCTAAGTTAACAGTTTAACTGGTCTACCAGTGCCTCAGAAAAAGTGGATTTTCGAATTGTGCTTTTTTTCCGCACACTGTCACCCAGGACAAAAATATAGCAAGAGAAGACTAGCACAGAGGGATTTGTTGTACATTTCACTCTAGTTTCACTGATGTTAAAATGATGAGGAGGGGATCACATTTTTTTTAATAGGAGGCTGCTGAAGAGGTGAAGATTTAGTTTTGAGATGTACTGTCGGTGGGATGAGGCAATGACTTTCTGTATTATGGAGGGATTCCCAGGAGTTGACGATTCCTTGCAGCACTGTGATGTTCTTGGCACTGATGTGGAAGTTAAAAAAGAAATTCCTGGAAAACAGCTACACAACACTTTTCACCTGTGCCAGCTAACCTCTCAATGTCAAATGATTATATTTAGAGAACTGAGAGTCTTAGCCACTCTGTCCATCCATCCATCCAGTTTATCTCTCCAAACAATTTGGGTGCCACACTTGAACATTTCTATACAGTGTATAAAAAAGTACAAGAGAGAAGAAGGGAAGAACCCAATCCTTTCCAGCAACGTTCTTCTAATTTTGAGGAGAAGCCATAGTTATACAAACAACTGTAATCTCCAGATGGCTTTCTCCTTAACTTCAGGATTTGGCATGTTCACCTTAGCTTAATTGTGTACCCTTAAAGAGTCACGCAAAATGTGATGTGTGCATGACATGGTATAATAATGCAGACTTCACTAAACATAGTATTTTCTTACTAACTGAGCAATGCTTTGGAATATGCAGTATTCCTAGCAGTGTTTATGTAGTTGTCCATTTGTATTTTTGCTTTCTGTTGGGATAAGTTGAATTTGGGGAACTGGCCATGGCCACAGTGGGAAGTCCGTGCTTTAGTTCTATGTGAGACCTCAGGATTGTCTCTCCCTAACAATATGTTAGTGAATTTTTTTGGTTGCAGAGAATTTAAAGAGGAGATGCTGAGAGACTGTGAGTGCACTAGATTTTGTTTCTCTTGAGTGAGACTTTTGGGTGCGTAAAAAATCCAAAATAAGTGAGTCAACAGCTAAATTGATGTTTGTGGGATCTTCTTCCTGTGTGCTAACCGGCTCCACTTTCGTCACACAAATCACTGTATTTATGGCACATAAGCACTCTGAAATGTATCTGAGAGGCATGAGTAGATGATTTATAAATCTATGAACAAAAACAAAAATTGCGGTAAAAGCTCAGCAGGTCTGGAAACATCTGTGAAGAGAAAACACTTCCTGAAATGTTAATTCTGATTTTCTTTTCACAGATGCTGCCAGACCTGATGAGCTTCTCCAGCATCTTCTGTTTTTTTCCTGATTTGCAGCATCCGCAGTTCTTTCGGTTTTTGTAAATGTGTGTTTCCTTCTGAATTTTTACGCTGTGATTGATTGACTGGAAATTTTAGGAATGGAATAGGAGTTTTGACAATATGCAACATAGTTGGGAAATGCACCACCAGTAGGAAGGAATTTCCTTGAAAAAGCTTTAAGAATTAAGGAGATATACCTGTCCTGAGACACGGGCAAAGTTTCTGTGCTAATATGGTCATAATGCTTGCTACTCTGCCCACTAAAGCACTTTTTTAAACTTGAATTTATAGTTCAAATTTATAATTTAAATTTATCCTGACCTCAGGATGTCCTGAAGCACTTTGTAGCCAAGTCTTTCCTTTTTATATCTGAGAGAGCAGACAAGGCTTTGATTTTAGGTCCCGATTGTCTAATCTCGAACAGGAAACTCCTGTTAGTCTGATGTCCATCAGCCAGAACTGATGATTTCAATTCAATGTCACCCACGATTGACCTACTTTCTACGCACAGGTTTGAAGAACTTGGTAAGCAAACTGTGTTGGAAGTGTTGGGGAACTCCTGGTGTGCTTTCAGATAAACTGCACATTTTCCATCGTTGCACCTCAGTGCATGTTATGTAGTGTCACAATTAACTTGGGAATGGACAAGCTGCCCTGTTCAGATTATTCTGCCTGCATTTGAATTTGCCCTTGGTGAACTGGAAAGTTTGTACAGGACCTGGCCCTGAATGTTCAAGCTGCATTATACTGATTGCTGCTTGTAATAACCTTCCTTTTGAAGGTGAGAAAAGTGATTTACGTCAAGTGACTCATGCAGTGAAGTCGTTATGCTCTTACGTCACTAAACAATAACACAACATATCTCTGACCATTAAAACCTGTATATCCATCCTGCAAGGACAAATAAACTGCATTAGCTCCTGCACAATCAAATGGCTTGTAATTGTCATTGCAGCCTCCAATCAAGGTAAAGGTGGAAGCAGAATTCTGTCAGCTTCTGTCTTCATTTTATGAAAACAAATTTTCTTTTAGAAGCTTGTCACAGTCCCTCAAAACTGTCCAACAAAGAGTGTCTGAACTGTTGCCTTGTGGGCCACATACTGTATCATGGAATGGAGTACCAGACTTGCAAAGTTTAATTTAACATGCCCTTCATTTCATATATATATCCCGAGTTGTTTGAACTGACAGATCAGGGTGTCTGGCCTACAATTGGAGCAGCCCCTTTCCAACAAAATTCAAGCCAGTGACCTAAGGTGTAGTAGTTCGAAGGCAACTCAATTGTTTGTGCATTGTGGACAAGGTTCAGGAAAATTCCAGTGGCACAAATATTAAAAAGGTTAAATGTTTGCCAGCAGTCTGTTGAAGGAACTGGATGAGATGGATGTTTTTGTCCTCCATTACTGCAGTTTCTGTCCTATTAGGATTAAGTCCCCTCACAACTTGTTCTTCATCAAGGTTTCAGGGCTCTGGTCACAGTTTCTCGTAAATCAAAAGTCATGTTTTTCTTTTATTTATTCATTCACAGGATTGTGTGAGTCACTGGCTAGGTCAGCATTTATTGCCTGTCTCCTAATTTTTGTTTGGTTAATAGTGATGAACCATCGTCTGAACTGTGGACTGTATGTAAACACCTTTGGAGTTCAGGATATAAGATTTTTCAATTGCCTGCTAGTTCCAAACGTGTGTATCTCAGCCTCAAAAACTTTGTACTTTTTTACAGTAAATTTTAATCCATCCCATGTCAAAAACTTTGGTTTCTCGCTGGTTATGTCACACTGGCATTGCTCATCCTCCAGTAACTGGTCTCAAATTGTTGCCCATTATTGGTGAAGTTTGACAACATGAACAGTTATTGGATCTTCTAGGTCCATCATTACTGAGCCTGAAGCTGTTTTCATTTCCTGCAACACCACCATTCAGATTACTCTTCCACAAAACTCAGAACTGTGTCAGGTTGCTGTGTTAGAAATTTAACCACTTATGCAGGTGAAAGAAAGCTGTTGTTTTATAGGAGTGAGCGTTAACCCAACTTTCAGTATGTGGTTGGCCAGATGGAGGTGAGTGATTGAAGAGGGAAATGAGAATTGTTAGCGTGTTACAATGTAGTTTGAATATGAAAGCATGATCAGCTTTGCAGCTGATTTGAATAACTAATGGCTTTTATCAGCTTGGATATCAGCCTTTATAAACCAGCATTTTCCATTTTATGGAAGTGTTCTGAAAGATCTCCTGAGCTGATTTAACAGGAAGTTTAAATCCATTTTTACTTAATCTTTTCAATGTATAAGTAAGGTAAAGTTGCCTAGTCTGATCAGACCATAAGGCTGCTCTCTTGCTAGAGAAAGACAGATGGTGGTGTTTTAACCTGAGGATCACCTACCTTGGACAAGGGGAAAGGTTGAGGAGGAGAGTCCTTCATGGTAACCTCAGCCAGTATGGGAATTGATTCCATGCTGTTGACATCACTTTGCATCACAAACCAGCCATCTAGTCAACTGAGCTAACTGACACCCCCACTCCCCCCAATCTATAAAAATTAGCAATTGAAGTTTAACCTTGCAGTAGTTTTGGGTTGAACTGTTGATCTGTATTGTACAAAATGGGGGGACTCAGCAGAGGGAGAGAGAGTCTCGTGATGCCACCAGGTTCAAGTTTTTATTGGGAAAGATTTTAATTTTGGTTATATTGACACTTGATGTTTAAATCTTTCTGCAGTATTTCTTTATTCAACCTCCAGACACTCCCAACTTCTGAATTTTTATGTGAATACCCTTTTCATTTGCAAAATGCCTTGTAAGTGAAATGTTCTGGAGCAGTACAAGTGGAGATCCAAATTATTTCATTTCCAGTTCTCTACAATTGTTAGGAATAAGCACTCTTGCCTGTTTGTTTTCTCCAAACCATCACTGCTGAAGAGTGTTTATGATTGTCCCTGTTCCACAGTCTCACTGAATGGTATAGATCAAGCCCAGACCTTCCTTTATTTTTAGTTTGTTAATGTACCA